AATTCGGGGCGGAAACGGTCGAATCGGGATTCATGAGGGGGGATGGGCCATGGGAACGCCCTCGTGGGGGGCCCAAGAGGGTAAATTGCGCGCGTAACTCAAGAAAGGATTCGGACCAGAGCGTACGGGGCAGTAGAAGTTCGAGGGAATGGAATGGGGAGTGGGGGCGCGAGGGAATCCCGCCGGAGAAGCCAGAGGGGGGTGGAATTTCGGAGGATGGGTTGGCCACGGACATCTTAATCTATGAGTATATGCATATATATATATATATAAATATAAATATCTATCTATAGTGGGTTGTCTAAGTCTGGTGATTCTATGTTTCCTTTCTAACCCTCCGCTTTAAAGGTGAGCAAAACTGCCAATAGTTTCTATTGGGTTCATTACATTTAATTACCGGTGTAGTCATTTTGGAAGTTCTCATGTCGTCGAAGGCGAATTCTCGACACCACTTTCGAATGGGCACCTTCAGCCCCAATCCAGATTGTTTTTATATTGTTCAGCATCAAACAAAAAAATGAGAAGTAAACACTCACGGCTCATGAAAGATACATACCCATGTCTCCACCGCTCAACACCTTTGAGAGTGATAGAGAATGGTTTAAATGAAACTTATCTCCCTTTTTATAGTTGTTGTGGTGGTGGTTTAATTGAATCACTTCCTTTTTTTTTCTTTTGGACTTGAGTTTAGCAGAAGTGAGGCTTGCTTTTTATCACTACGCGGAATCCCCGAGGTGGGGGTTTACTGCCCGCTTGCGTTTCATAACCCGAGGAATTTATCCCGGGATTTGTGAGGAAAATCGCCCCTTTGCATCCTTCGGATTCATCGTTATTGTTTCGTATACCGCACGGAAGGGGTTAAACCAAAGAGGCTCCTACACGTGCGTTGGGTGGAATATAATAAACACATTAATATATATGTATATATATATATATAGGTATATATGTTAAGGACCTCAAAAGGACACCCCACTTGTGGTATCGGTTGAAGCCTTGTTGATTGGGTGGTGCCAAAATCAAGAGCTAAAAGCCGGTTTCCCTCACTTTCTGAACCCTCGTTGGCTTTCCAAACACCAAGAGAAAAAACCTCAACGTTCACCCTATTTAGGGCCGCAGTCTTTTCTTCCCCACCCAGCTCAGGATTGGTTTGCGTGGTTCTCAAAGCCTCCGCATTGTCCTGTCCAAGAGTACCAAACCGTCAATTTGGAGTCAGGCCCTTCAAAAGCCCAGCCCGGCTTTGGGATATTCGAAGACCAGCTACCTTCCGTCAAAAAAAAGCTTTCTGGAATAGTACAAAGCCTTTTAGTTCTCCTTTTCACCAACTCAGCGTGAAGCCGATATTCGTACTCATTGCGCACAACACGTAAAGGATGTCCCAACCAGCCCGCACCTGGGCCTATTCGCCAGTATATATACCCACAAATCAATAAATATATATATCTATATATATATATATATATGAATATATGTTTTTTACGGAATCCCAGTCCCCCACTTCTTCTTTAGCCTCAATCCCCCCCCCTATCATAAAAGAATTTGATCCTTTTCGCTCCCTTTATTTATTCCCGCAGGTCATTGTGAAGCTCCTCCACAAACGCGATGCTGATAAACTCCTTTTGCCACCCGCTAAACAACCACCCGAGGCGGCCCGTGAGCACCCGCCAGTCGGGGAGAAGTCGCTTAAACGGCGTTGTCGGCGAAACCCGCCGAAGCCCCGACCTCGGGGCCACGATAATTTCCCCGAACTCCGCGCCTTCCGCCCTGGGGTGGGTGAAGGCCCGCGGGGTCAAGGCGTCTTTGCCGGCCATCCCATCCCCCGCCCTCTGGCGGGCCGCGATGAGGATATCATCCACATCGCCCTCGGGCTGGCCTTCCCACGCGAGTGCGGCTTCCGGGCCGCCGCCGCGGTGGTGGTGGTGGTGGTGATTGGGCCGCTCGGGGGCTCTTTTTTCCGCCGGGGGGGCGGCCGGGCGGGCCCACGCCGTCGGCGCCGCGTTTTCGCGTTTGGGGAAGTGCTGGGAGGGCTCCGGGGGGTCAAGGCGACCCCCCGCGAGGGCCTCGCGCGGGGGGATTTCCTCCGGGCCCTCCCCGCCTCGCCGACGGCGCCCGCGGGCGGGCTCGGCGCGCTGGGGCTTCGGCGGGTCGTGCGGGTCCGGCGGGGATGTCAAGACGGTGTAGTACTTGCGCGAAAAGAACAGCTCAATGCAAATTCGCTGAATGAAGAAGATAAAGAGATCCAGGAAAATCATAAAGAGCGGTATCCGCGGCGTCGCTTCCTCCGCGGTCAGGAAGTCCACAATCGCGCTATCCAGGGTGAAGAATTTCGAATAATAATACTCCCGCGCAAAGCCCTCGGCGGCCGTTGTGTTGAGGATCCCCGGCTTCGGTCCCGAGACCTCCGCGGCGGCGCCGATCGCCCATGTTTCCCGCCCACCCTTCGGGAGGATGACATCCAGGGCGGAAAACTCCCCCGTCGGCGGGGCATCCATCAGGGGGTGCCAGCCATGAGTGAAGACGGGCAGCACGAGATCAAAGCACAGCGCCAAGACCAAAATCAGCACCGAATGGCGACCGCTGGAGCCGCCGAAGTCGGCCTGGGAGAGGCCCTCCGCGTTGAGCCAATTCAA